AATATCTTCCATTGTCCAACCCATGATCTGACAGGTGTATCTTAAGCTTTCTTGGCTTCTGTGATTCCAAAAACGTCGACTGCTGACATTTTCCTTTTGACCAGTGTCTCTTGAGTTTAGTTGAGCTGTCTCCAAGGTAAGGTGCCTTGGAGACAAATGTCTAGATATCTTAAAAGAGGACTTGGCCTCCGCACTGGTTTTGCAGCTTCAAGAGCCGCTAGGCACCCTCGCGCTTCTCCTTCACCGACTTGAGGAAGAAGTGTCACGCGCTTTCCAAGGCCACATCATCGCAGTCAAAATAAAAACCCAGAGAGAGGTAGGTGTAAGAGGCCCACAGGTGCAGGTTGACCAGAGAGTTGATGCCAGTTTCTGTTTCGGCGGAATAATTTTGACAGATCTGAGAGCTCATAGTTGGTCGAGATTTTGGGGCTAATAAAAAAAAGGTCCCGAAAATAGGAGATGGTTGAGATGGTCCGAGGTTAAGCCTGGAGATGAAGGTGGAGGTTAGTCAGAGGCTGGAAGGGGGGAAGTCGCCTGGTCTGTTCCGTACAAACACTGTTCAAGCAAGAGACAGATCCACGGGACCGAGATATCCAGAAGACATCCCAGGATGGGTGGGGTAAAACCCTGGACGCCGTGCAAGCCGCGCTGGTCTTGGAGAAGAAACTAAACCAGGCCCCTCTGGATCTGCACGCCGTGGATTCCGCCCACACTGACCCCCATCTCTGTGACTTTCTGGAGAACCACTTCCTGGATGAGGAAGTGCAATTACTGAAGAAGATGGGTGACCATCTGACCAACATTAAAAGACTGGGCGTCCCCCAGGCTGAGTTTGGTGAGTATCTCTTTGAGCGTCTCACCCTCAAGCATAACTAGGGGCCTGTGGGGACCTGCACGGGGGAACCTCTGCATCCCCTGCCATCAGCAGCAAGCTTCTCTAGCCCACCCTGATGTAGAATCTTAACCACCCAGAAGCCCCTCACCCAAGCCTTGGACCAAATGAAACAATAAAGCTTTTTGCAACAGAAAAAGAAAAAAAAGGGTCTAAAACCAGGAACAAATCCTTGATGTAAACAGACTTTTGTTTCTGATTATGATGCACTAGGTAATTTAGACTCCTGTTGTGACAACCAGGAAAGGTGTTTTCTCTTTCTCTGGGTGATACATTAGTACATAAAGAACTAATTATACAATGAAAAATTGAAATCCTGGAATGTGTCCTAGAGGATAGGCAATTTGGTATTAGAAAAGTTTTCTCAGGAGGGTTGTCACTTCCTAAAGTGTGAGCTGAGTGACAGAGTAGTGCTTTGGACAGACTCACATAGTTATGTGTGAAAATATTCTTGAAATCTAGGTCCCTCCAGGGGAAAAGAACTGCTAAATTCACCTATTTTAAATTGAGAATCCAAATGACTGCATCCCCTCACTTGAACCAGAAGCACAGAACTAGAAGAGTGAACTTGAAGCACAAAAATACTCACCAAGTGGACAGTTCAGTTTTTAATGATACCAATTCCTGTGTTTGGCTTTAGGAGATTCTGAACTGTAGATTCTTAGCACTTGGCAGAACATATGTAAAATCCTTTCTAAAAGAACAAGACATTGTCCTAAGTCTACAAAAATGTTTGTGAAAAACAAGTCTGTTAATAAGAGTGCAGAAAATATTTAAAAATCCCAAAAGCATCAGAAACACACAGTTGATACAGATGCTTGACATTTATGGATATTGAAATAGTGTTGTTGTTGTTGTTGTTGTTGTTGTTAGGTATCATCAAGTTGAGCATGACTCATAGAGACCCTGTGAAGAGCCAACCTGAACCCTGCCCTATTCTGTGCCATCCTCATTGTCTCTGACACACTTGATCTCATTGCTGGAGTCATCATGTCAATCCATCTCATCTTCTTCTCCTTCCCTGATCTTCCATCATTCCAAGCATGATTTCCCTACAAGGAATAGCCTAGCTGTGCAAATACAAAGTAAGAAAGACAAAGTTTCACCATCTTTGCCTCCAGGAATACTCTTACTGCACTTTTTCTAAGACATATCTGTTTGTTCTTTTGTCCATTCACATATATTCTCTTGAGCAGTGTGCTCAAGGGTGTCAGAGATTGTGAGGTTGGCACAGGATAGGACAACAGGATGGGATACTTTTCTACAGCCCCACAACTAATAAGGCATGAATTATTCTTCTGTTATACTTTATCATTGTCCAGCTTTCTGATGCATAGAAGATGATTGAGAAGACCATGACTTGAATTAGGCACATCTTAGTCTTCAAATTGACATAATTGCCTCTTCAGCATTCTGGAAAGGACCCTGACAGCAGACTTGCCTAATGTTAATTCATCTCCTGATTTCTTGTCTGCTACTACTAAGGGTGATGAAGGAAGAAGTTCAAGCTGCTTTGAAGGAAATAGCAAAAAATAAGGCCCCAGGAATAGATGGTATACCAA